ACGGGGTGACTGGGATAACGCGCTGGTGACAGACCTTCATGATATGCGAGACCTCTTCGGTACTTGACGGGTAGAGGATCAAGAAGGGCTTCTCATCCTCTTTCTGCGAATAGGAGGACCAATCGGACCCGGCATGCGATTCCAAGTCGCCACTTGCAGTCGAGACATTTTCCTTGCCCAAAATTTCGACGAAATCTGCCCACGCTGCCTGTAGGTTGGAAGGAGAGACGTTGTGTTTTGGAGCCTCGATATCAGATAGAGGGGTTGTAGACGAGGAGGGTAAAGCCGCGGGCTTGATAGATCCGAGGTAATAAGCACCAGTTGAGAAGAAAACCAAAGCTACAGCATACAGATTTAGTTAGCCAAGGACCATGACCTATCCAGAGGGGAAGAAAAGAAGAAAAAAAAAGCAAGATTATCTCGGCATCGCATACCGAAGACTAGAGCAGCAGAGCGACCTGCGGGGGACTGGGTCTGATATTGGGCGAATTTCTCTTGTTCGGCACGTTCGCGCTTCAGACGTTGTTGGGTGCTTTCGTATAGTTGACTCTTGAATGATTGGTTTTCCTTGGCTTGCTTAGTCGAGGATGTAAAATGGCGCAGGAGGCGGGGTGATGGTCGAGTCCGGAGACTACGCGCCCCTAGAGCGAGGGCATTGAAGACCATTGCGATGTGTAGAAGAAGTGAACCTCCGAAGGCTTTCCAAACAGAGCTATCAGGAGCTCTCAGAGAGACCGAAAGAGAGAGAGGTCAGAGGTGGAGGACGGACCGAGTTCCGGAGTCTTGGCATCTGACCCGATAACTTTTTTTTTCTTTGACAGGCACTATATAGACACTATATAGACATTATATAGACACTATATATTAGTATAGAGTATATAATAAGATAATAAGATATAATAATATGCAATAGTATCTTATATCTTATATATATCTTATATATATCCCACTTATGTACTATATATAAGTCCTATCTAGAATGATACGTCACTTGAAAGTAGTCAGTCACATGCCCTTCTATTATTACTTCTTGTGACTTCACAAAGGAAGATAATCCCGCCAAAAGAAAAACAGAAAAAGAAAGAGTCTCCGGTTAATATCATCGCGGCTAAAAAAGACAGAAAAAGGGCTCCACCTCCAAAGTGGAACTTGTCTTCACCTGCGGGGAGCTCTTCGGTTCAATTCAAACTGGAATTCTCCCGGTTATTTCTTTTCCAAAGTTCTTATAGGTATATATATATATTATATATATATATAAATATATATTCTCCCTTTCTCTACTATCCTCTTCATCCCCCCACCACCACATTTTTGCCAATTTCTCCAGAATTCCAATTGCCCCTCCAAACACATAATGGCCGAAGCTCAGGTAGGACTCGACTCACCGCTGAAAGTGGCACAAGTCTGACAGACATGCAGAACCTTTCATTTGTCCTTCAAGGCATTCATAAGGTCAATTTTGAAGACCGCCCAGTTCCAGAGCTGAAGAGCCCTCACGATGTGATCATCAATGTCAAGTACACCGGTATTTGCGGCAGTGATGTACGTACCATACTCCGGGAAACAGTTATGACCCCAGCTAATCAATCCCCGCTATAGGTGCACTACTGGGAACAGGGCTCGATCGGTTCATTCGTCGTGAAAGACCCCATGGTCCTCGGACACGAGTCAGCAGGCATCATCAGCCAAGTCGGATCAGCCGTCAAGACCCTAAAGGTGGGTGATCGGGTCGCTATGGAGCCCGGCATCTCCTGCCGCCGATGTGAGCCCTGCAAGGCCGGAAAGTACAACCTGTGTGAGGACATGCAGTTCGCCGCAACCCCGCCCTATGACGGCACCCTCGCCAAGTATTATGCTCTTCCCGAGGACTTCTGCTACAAGCTCCCCGAACACATCTCCCTACAGGAGGGAGCACTCATGGAGCCCCTCAGTGTTGCAGTGCACATCGTGCGCCAAGCCAACGTCAGCCCGGGCCAGTCGGTGGTGGTATTCGGTGCCGGCCCCGTGGGCTTGCTGTGCTGCGCCGTGGCGGCTGCATTCGGCGCTTCCAAGGTCATCGCCGTGGATATCCAGCAGCAGCGTCTGGACTTTGCCAAGGACTACGCCACTACGTCGACCTTCATGCCCAGCATGGTTGCGGCCACTGAGAACGCCGAGCGTCTGAGCGAAGAGAATGGGCTTGGCGCTGGCGCCGATGTGGCGATTGATGCTTCGGGCGCTGAGCCTTCCGTGCACACGGGCATCCATGTCCTGCGCAACGGAGGCACATACGTGCAGGGTGGCATGGGCCGCAGCGAGATGCTGTTCCCTATCATGGCGGCTTGCTCCAAGGAGCTGACCATCAAGGGTAGTTTCCGATATGGTAGCGGAGACTACAAGCTTGCCGTTGGGCTGGTTTCATCCGGCAAGGTTGATGTTAAGAAGTTGATTACCGGTACGGTCAAGTTCGAGCAAGCCGAGCAGGCTTTTATTGAGGTCAAGGCTGGCAAGGGCATTAAGACTTTGATTGCCGGTAGTGATGTGTAAATTCCGGTATAGAAGCGAAACACTGGGGATAAATGGGGGCGTTGATGTTATTTTTTTTTTTTTATTATAGCAGATGTTGAACGAGAGATGAATCAAAAGTTGTGATGTGAAATAACTCTGAGCTGTTGGGTAAATACAGTAACATGTAGAAATGATCAAGGTCAACGAGGGGTATCGTGCAGTGTAGTCAAACGAAAAGACCAAATCAAAACGGGAAAAAAGAAACAAATGTATCCAGGATGATACAATACTAACAACACCCTTGATTTGGGCGATTTCCCGAGCCCAAGCGGAAAACATCCTCCCATTCCCTCATCCCGCTCTTCCAGATAGGTGTGCCAGGAGCTTTGCCTTTTCGACGGCTCCTGCGTTGCAGGGGCACGGAGTTATCGTCCAGCGTCGCCCGACTTCTGACACTGGAAGCGTCGCTGCCACCATATAAACCTCCATCCCCGTACTGGATGCCACTCTGCGGGTCATCGGGATCGATCTCACCGAGCTCGATCTTGGTTAAGATGATCCGCGCCAGCCGATTGAAGACTTCCTCCACTCCATCCCCCGTCAGAGCCGAGATCTCCACAGCGACGGGTATATTCGACTTAGCAGCCCAGTGGGATGTCTCCTCGGGGCTAACCTCTCTACCTTCCGAGGCACGAGTAGCCGTCAATCTAGTGCCCGTCCCCATCAAGCTGGTGGAGCGAATCGACCCATTCACATCCCAGGGGATAGACGACTGTCTGCTGGAGGTACTAGACGGGGTCGGAGGTGGGCGGGAGTTATCTTCGAAATCGGACTGGGCGTCGGAGGTCAGGTCAGCTTTATTCCCAGCTAGGATGACGGACAGGTTTGGGGAAGCGAGGGCGCGAGCGTCCATGAGGAAGGTCGGGAGGGAGGCGAAGGAAGCGTAGGAAGCAACATCATATATGAGGATTGCACCTGCTGCGCCGCGATAATACGATCTTGAAACCGATCGAAAGCGTTCTGTGCCTGCAGTATCCCAGAGTTGGAGTTTGATACGTCTCCGGCGTGAACCCGTGCCGAGTTTCACGATGCGCGAGGCAAATTCCACGCCGATGGTCTGGGAGGATAGTACTCTCCCTGGAGAAAAGGTATGTCAGTAAGATAGGGAGAGAGAGAGAGAGAGAGAGTATGTGTGTGAGTGAGGATTGGAGGGTAGTTGTACATTCATCTTTCACGAAGCGGTGTAGTACACAAGACCTGTAATTCAAGGATCCGATGTCAGCAGATGATCTAAGTTTGTATGTAACAATACCTTAGGTACTTAGGGTATTGATATATATAGCTGGTACTCACTTTCCAGCACCACTTGGTCCTAGGAGAATGACTTTGACCAGGTAATCATACATGCTCCCCAGTTCCTATGATTGTATTAGTCTCCTAGACGAGGGGGGGGCAATTAGGGGAAGATTCATATACCTGGTCTGGGAGTGAGGAAGTGGAAGAGGCATTTGAAAGACCTCTTTGACGTGCCATGGACGTAAGGAAATAAGTTATTGGGTGGTGGGTGAATATGAAAGAGAAGGGGTAGCTTTGACTTGGGGGGAAAGCTGTTGGGTGCCCGACCGGTGATCTTGCACTATTAACTTAACTATTACTATCACTAGTTAGTTATTACTATTACTATAACTATATATTATTAAGTATACTATTAATGAAATAGAATGTTTGAATCATGTTATAAAAAGAAATAGGTTAATAGCTAAAGTGCTTTGATACTTTACTTCGTATTCGAATAAGGCGCATTTCTAATATACAACATACCTTTTAGTCTATCACAAAGGAGAGTTTCTCACATTTTGGGGCTTGGAGCAAGGCTCATCCTATGTGGATTACAGGGCATAGATTGACGTAGTATTATATTATATAGATTATATAGTGCTTGGACAATGAGGCTTAGTAGATACCTAACTAGTTAACTAGAGGTAGTTATACCGTATAAAGGCCATCTATAACCATGTGCATAAACAGGGATTTAGAGATCTACAATGTACATATACATAACTATACATAACTAGGTATATACCGAGGTAGGTATGCACAATGGAAGTCTTCTAGAATCAAAAGAAGAAATGAGATCGTGGCAGTGCTTATATACTCCGTTTATACTCCGTACTCCGCTTATAAGAGAGTCAATCCCTTCGTATTCGCTCTTGGGCTAAAAGGGGGGCCCGAGGCTGAGTATTTTGGCTTTGACTTTTTTATGGTCATTTTCATTGTCTGAAATTGCTTAAATCTGAAGGACTTTTTAACACTTTTAACACCTTTAAACACCTTTAAACACCTTTGATGCTCTTTGAGATTCTCCCCGAAATCTCTTAAGGAGTCGGCCATCAGAATTTCGTCATCCCGTTACTTCCCAACTTCCTCGACTTCACTTCCCTTTGATTTCACCCTTTTATATCCCTCCATCCCCCATCCTTCTATTCTTCTGCTACTCCATACTCATACTCACCATGAAGTTCACTTGGACAACGCTCCTTCTACTCTCTACCAGGGTCACGGCCCTGACCATCCCTCAGACAGAGTCTACCGATCTCGTTGAACGAGATGTGATCTCCCTGCACTCCCTGGATGCCACCCAGGACACAGATGTCATAACTCTGGAGAAACGGCGTGGCGGTGGTGGAGGAAGCCGAGGCGGCAGCAGCGGTTCGTCCAGCAGTTCATCCAGCAGCGGAGGAAGCAGTGGAGGCCGCACCGGTTCTTCCGGCTCCTCCGGTTCAAGTGGCAGCAGTGGAGGCAGTCGCAGTGGTTCAAGCAATGTTGGTGGTACAACTCGTGGCGGCTCTGGCACTCGAGCAACCTACGGCGGAGGAAACTACTATGCCGGTGGTGCGAGCACTCCCTACAAGTCTGGCTCCCGGTCCGCTGGAGGAATCGCCCCCTATGTGCTCGGTGGAGCTGCACTGGGCTTCTTCCCGGGTCTTTGGCTGTACGGCGCCTATGCCTACCCCTACAGCCACCACTACAATTACTACAATGACAGGAACCACCGGAATGAGTCGCTCCCCATTGTCTGTGTGTGCCAGGAGTACTCCGAATGTGGCTGCGACAGCAACACTAACCGCACCTACTACGAGTCCCTTTTCAACGGCACCGTGCCTAAGAACTCCAGTCTTGTGCGTGTGGTCGATGTGAACGGCACTCAGACCATCTACATCAACGGCACCTTGGCCAACGGCACCACTGCCGACGACAGAAGCTCGACAAACACCTCCTCGGCATCTGGACCTGTCGCAATGATCCTGCATGCCAGCGGGTACTGGGTGACGGTTGCCGTGGTAGTGGCTGCTGTCTGGGGATTTTAAATGACAAACTATGCTTTTGGTTTTTTGCTGTTTTTCTTTTTGCTTTCTGACTGCTGGGTTATTATGGCTCTACCTGGCTTGTGTTGACGATGAGCCCTAATGCTATGATAAAAGATGATTGATTGGGATGGATGTTTGCTTGTGACTTTGATACCCCCGGTTTGGGAACTTGCCTTGGCCTGTATAACAGTATTGTTTATATCCCATAAAGCGCTTTGCTTCTGATAATGTGAAGGCGATATTGAATTGGACCTGGAACTTGAAACTAGACCTGAAAATGTATAGAAGTTAAGAACAAGTATCTGTTGAGACATGTGGTCCTGGATATTCTTAAGTTGGACTAGTTGTCTCGTCAGAAAGGGTTGAAGTAATTATGAGCTTGAGAAAGATATTTAGTAGAACAGAAAGAAAGATTGCAAAGACTCTGATTTATATAACTAAACTATGTAACTACAACATATACACCGGATTTTAGGCCGCGCGACGTGGCTTTCCCTTTCCGCTTTAGTGCTCACCCCTAGCCGCTTTTTGCTCACTGAGTATCGCCTGATTATTACATAAGCCGGATGAACTCGCTCACTGAGCGTGACCTGAGTACTCCGACTTGCTCACTAAGCACGACCTGATTATTATATAAGCTTAAGGCTTGCTCACTAAGCGTCACCTAGTTAAGCAAAGTTAGAGTACCTAGGTAGCTAAGTTAGTAGCTCACCTTAATAAAATGCACCACGCTAGCTATATCCTAATGTAAGTCGCTCACCTAGCACTCTTAACTGTTGCCCCCTTAACGAAAGGCTGGCGTTATTAATCTAGCGGTCGATCCTAGTTGTTTCGCCTCTAGTTAGGAGGCAAATGCATAGTGGGTAGTCTTCCGCAAAGCCCAACTTTGGGCCCGGTACATATATCACAAAGCAAGCAGGGGAACAATGAGACACGATAGGGGGAATCAATGAGAAACACCACAAACAGCACCGAGAGAGCTTAAGAACGACCAAACATGACCATCCCCGCTAAGTGGAAGCTCTGGTTCATCGCCAGCATCGCCAGCCCCGAGATAACCGCCTCGTCCTCGACCAACTGATCCATCGCCCTATCCAGCACCTCAAAGGTGCCCACCCGCGCGTTAGAGAACGCCTCATTGCGGAACTTGACCAGCACTTTGCTATCCCCCTCACGCACCAGCCGAAAGTTCCCGACCGCATTGTCCCCCGAGTCCGTCTCCCACGTTAGGACGACAGGACCCCCCTCGCCCACTAGCCCGCTCGCTCCGCCCACCGACAGCGCCGGCGAGACGAACGAGTACCGCGTGCTTAGCACCTTCTGGCGCTTGAGCTCGATGTTGCGCTGCTCACGGATGCGCAGTATCACGTCCAGGCTAGTCATCTTAAACTGCGCAGTGCACACACGCGATTCAAAATAGTTCTCTTCGTCCGCGGGGATAGGCCGCATCCCCGTCCTAGTAGCGCCGGTGCCAGCGCCCTCCGTCGGGGGAAGGTGGCCCGCCAGGCGGATCATTTCCATCTGCGGCGTCTGCCGGCTGACCTTGACGTGGTAGAGCGGCTGTTTGGTAGTCGCGTCCAGGAGCGAGAGCCGCTTGTCGGGGGTGTAGTTGATTATGATTGTTTGAGGAGACATGGTGAGAAACTTGAAGGTGGGTAGGGAGAGAAACTTTAGGCACTATACAGTGGTAAGGGTGTTCGGGATATATAGACAGTCGAGTAGATACAATCGTGGAAGACGACACGGTCTCTACCCGCCAATATATCTTCCTCTATGCATCAGGCCCCAATATTCCCAATGCCCGGGCTATCCCTCTCGCGGTTAGGTGACCTATCGCCGATGTAACCCCACCCCTACGACGTCCGGTAGCGGTAGGTAGAATGATATTCCAATGAATAATCCTTTATTGCCTTAATGCCTTAATGCCTTAATGCCTTAATGCCTTACCGCCTTACTGCCTTACTGCCTTACTGCCTTAGTGTCTGTCCCGTCCAGACGCCTTGGCAACTCCCTTTCTCCCTTTTCCCTCTCTTCAACTTGCAACCTTCTCCTGTTATAAACAGTGTCACTCTTTTTGTTCTCCCAGCTATTACATTCTTTTATAAGCTGCATTCACTCTTTTGGCTCGAATTACTCTCTTCTTTGCAATTCGTAATTCTCAATTCGCAATATCATAACAACATTGAACCAAAACATCAACAATGCAGTTCACCAAGGCTCTCCTCTTCCTCTCGGCCCTCGCGCCCGTCGCGTTCGCCGCTGAATCTGCCTCAGCCGACTGTATCACCAAGACCATCACTCTGGTGCCCTCTGGATACACCCCGTCGTCCACTTCAACTCCCACTCCAACCTCAACTTCGACTGAAACTCCCTCGTCGACTTGGACGCCTGTCATCACTAGCACTCCTTCCTTTAGTGCTACCCCTTCTATGAGCCACATTGCTAGCTCCTCCACTCCCCTGATCAGGGCTAGCAGCACCCCCGCCGGTGAGAGTGCCTCGGCTACTCCTTCCGCCCCTGCTACCGCCGGTGCTGTTTCAATCCACCTCCCTGGTTTCATGGCTGCTGGTGCAGTCGCCATCGCTGGTGTTCTCATGATCTAAACTCCATTTTCTGACTCATTTGAACGAGTGAATGTTTGAGTTACCTCCCCGATCTTGATGTCGACTTTTGCTGCATTGCATCCAGTGTATCAACCTTGATACTAGGCTGCTTCGGCCATCTAGAATGGCCTCCACTTGATCCTTCCCATGTTTTCTTTTTTGGGATATTTTCTTCTTTACATATTCTTTCTTCCTGACATACCGTTTCTTTTTAACCTGCTTACTTTCTGGTTACGGTGGTTTTTGACGTGTTTTCCGATGTTTATACCCTTTTCTCTTTCCCTTCGTTACTCCCCTTTTGATCTCACCCAAGCATTTTCTGACCTTAATGCTTCTTCCTTTCTGTCTTGGGTTGACTTTGGATTCTTTTTCTCCACATTGATGCTTGCATCTTTGCTCTTGGATGTCATACTACTGTTACTTGACGAGTGTAAGACTTACGAGCTTTACTTTTTGTACAATTGATATATTTCATTGTGACTACATTTGACCTTCGCTTAATCTGTAATCTTTCAATCATGAACGGAGCGTGTGGTCTTTAGATATATAGTAAAAATTTCTAGCTTCTCGATGATAGCTTAGCTATGGCTTCATCTACGGCGTATGCTTGACAACAAGAACTGGCTGAATCAAGCGCATCGATAATCGTGAATAACTTAGGAGAGGACTGAAACTGTTCTTATCTACTACAATGACTCCAAGAACGGCCACCAAAAAAAAGTATATCGTACAGAAATGTGAACTGGAACTAGCCTACTCCTCTTTGGAGAAAGCAGCTTCGTATCTGTCAAGCAAGTTAGCCAACATCCCTCGACTCAGCAAACGACACCACATACCTCTTGCCTCGGAAGGCCCATAATCCCCAGTTTCCACAAGAAACATCATGAGGATCCTGATCATTCAGATCCCAGCGTAGACTGCGGAAGATATTCTCGCCGGGCTCAAGGAGCACATCGAATTCTCCACGACACTTCTCCCCCACCCAGTTAATATCACGCTCCAGATCCCACTGGGTATACCCAGTACAGATGATAGGAACCTTAGTCTCAAGCAACTGAGGCAGCGTCTCCTCCCACTCATGCGAGCTAGCCGGGTGACCCAGACCAGGATGGAAGAGCATAAAGCAATCCAGGTAAGGATCGAAGGGACCGAAATACTGCGCCTTATTCATAGTGTGGAAGTAGTCTACGTAGGTAGTGATCTTCATCTGGCCACCGAGTCTGTCCTCGACGATGCCGCCGAAGGGGTTCTCAGGTGTGCGCTCGGGAAGCGGATACTCTCCGTCTCGATTCGCCATGCTCTCCGGTCCAATGAAGATGAGGTGCAGCAGGGCGCGGGGATACATGTACTGCAGCTGCAGCCAGACGTCGCGGGGAAGGGACGACTCTGCGCGGGCGCCGAGAATGAAGATTCGTACTGGGGGGCGCCTTCAACCGGAGACCTTTGACGTCGATGCTTTCACCGGCTTTAGGGGGGTGGAGGGAGTAGCGGAGAGCTGGGGATGAATTAGTTTTGTTGTGTGGGAATACTGCTAGCAGTCCTGAGGACTATTATGCTGCATAGAATCAGGACTTTGACTTACCACTCAGACTCTTCAATCCCTCCGGTGTGAGCCGTCCGCCAGAACGAACACCGTACGGGCTAAGCTCGTGCAGGACACTGCCGATTGTCTGGGGATAGGTTAGCATGCGCGTAACCTGACGCATGGAGCGGTCGTCGTTGATAGCCGCGAATTCACGGGTGTAGAGATAAGTGTCCCAGTTGGTCATGTTGATAACGAAGTTATCATCCTGAGGACCGGGGTAATGGAATTCAGGGAAGACGCGGCCGGAGTTCAGGTCGTGGTCGTCTTCATTGATCTGGCGCAGCGTGTCACAGATCTCGAGGTGAGCCTCGAAGTCGTCCATCCAGTGACCCTCGGAGCAGTAGACTGGCACACCGCAGTCGGGACACTCGAAGTGCGAATGGGCCGGGGGCAGGTTTGCATCGTCGGTGGTTTTTCTGGCTTCGGGGTCGTGCGGCGAGACGGCCGCGCGGGTCTGCTGATGGCTTGGGTGCGGGCAGAAGGCATTCTGCTTGATGAACTCGGCGCGTTTGCGGATTGCCGGCGAGGGTGAATTCGAGAAGGAGTGGAACAGGTTGTCGGGTTTCAGGACGGCCCGAGGGTTGACGAAGGAGGACCCGGTTGCCGTGTGAGCTGCCCGCTGGGCGAGAGGCGAAGGCGAGGACTTGGGAGCACAGCAGGACTGGCTGTGTGTGTGCTTATGTTGTTCTGGGGCGCTGCCCAGTGATCGGTTGTTCCGTTGCGAGCCAAAGCTGCGGATGAAAGACGGGGAGATGGGGCTTCTTCTCCGTGCGGTGGCGAGGCTCTGCAGGCGAGCCTGAGGGGCTGAGGCCCGGACCCCTTGACGGAGAACCTGTAGGCACTGGACACAAGTGTATCCTGCCATTGTGATGTCAATTGGTTGTGGAGGGGAACTGATCAGACCACAGGATAGCTCCGGGGGATGTTTTTACGGCAACACGTGACTGAGACCATCTAGTTATCTTCAACTTGGGCTTTTTAGTTTTATTGTTGTCATTTAGGTGAATTTTACCTAAAGATATACCATTTACTATCTGATCTTGCCCAGGTGAGCGGATATCCACAAGAAAGCTACCCAGAATTCATTCGTTTATTTATAACAATTGAGAGTCTTATACAAACCAACCAAGCCAAAAAACAACAATCCAAGCACCCCTCAGAAGATATCCTCGGATCGACTCCAATCCTGCGCATCTCTGGACTCCCAGTATTTTCCATTATGAGCCCAGAATTCCTCTCCAGTAACAGGACACTTGTCACGGGTGAACCATTGCGGCGCGTAGACCTCGCCGTTGGTGTCCCGCTCTCTGCGCTTGGCACGCTGCTTCTCTTCAACACGGTGCTTCTCATCAGCAGCCAAATCATATTCACCATCTTCCATGGCACGCTGATCAGGTCGCCGTCTGGTATCGGTAGGGGGGAGCCACTCCTTCAAGGGCTCGGGGAGAGCATTGAGCGTGATGACGAATGGAGTCAGGTTGAAAGGTATACCAGTAGGACGAGCATGAGCCTGCCAGACCAAAAAGGTCTTGGCAGACTCGGGATCCTGGCCGGAGACAGGTGCCTCAAAGCCGGGGGGTGTGGCGAGCGTAGATCTTATCGTTCCAGCGGCCACCGATGCTCCACTTGGGGGAGCCTTCGCTGTCGACGACCTTTCCTGTCACCTGGTAGGCTGATGAGGCCTTCCAGCCACGGGGCTTGAAGTCAAGGTAGCAAACTTCGCCGGTGGTCCAATTCTTGATTTCCATCAGACCGTAATTGTCCACTGTGGGGTTACCGGTGATGATGCCGATGACCGACGAGGTCACCTTCTTCCATGTATAAAGTTCTTCTCCGCCGGTGGAAGGCCGCAGCTTCAGGAACCATGTGCCCAGCAGGTTGATGTCGAAGGATTTGCCGTAGAACTTGGACTTGAGGGAGGATTCACCCTGAATACGTAGTTTTGGTTAGCCCAGTGGACACATGCGGACAGAGATTGGGTTACGAAATCGGATGCACTTACCCAGTAGTCCCATTTAGGCGACTCGGCCCACGCAGCTCCAATCGGTGGGTGGTGGCTGACTTGTTCCACAAAGAATCGATAACCCTTGTCCGGACGCACATATTCAAAAGTTTCACCCAGAAGGGGGTTGAAAGGCTTTGCGACACGGCCGATGGTCGAGGCATACTCACTTGCGGCGTACGAGGCAACGTATACTAGGCGTTCCATTGAATCAGTCCGACCAGCAGCGATATCAAGGAGGTCAGTATATTCAAGGTCCTCAGCTACTCGCTGAAGCAGTGAAGTTGGTTCGTTGAAGGATACCGGGAGTGTCATCTTCGTCATGTCCTTTCCAATCATAGATTTCAGGATACTCTAACCCGTAGTTAGCATTGCCGAAGAAAGGAAGAAGCAAACACCACCGCTTACCCATAGAGAGATCTTTGGCCGATCATCAGCATCCATCTTAAGTCGCTCTCTAATGGGATCTTCATAACCCTTGAAGGAGGGTGCAATGATAGTACTCTTCACAGCCCGAAGCTCAGCACTTTCATCTTTAGATTGTTCCATATTGTCCTTCTCGGCGTTCAAGTCCTCCACCTCGATTTCACCAGCATCAATAGCATCGAAGAATTCTTCTCCGTCCGACTCTGAACCACAGAGACTGCTGAGCTTGGAGTAGGTCGATGGATTGCGACTGAGTGCGGGTATCGTGGATAGTTGCTGTGCAGGCTGCTCTGCCTCATTTATCGTTTCCGTAACACCATCTTCAGTTTGGCTGGCCAAAAGATTCTGGTTGTCTGTTGCCAGACGGGGCGTCCCACCGGCGATAGAACGGCTGCTGCCTGTCGCGCTCTCCAGGGCTTCCTTCAGAGCCCGCTTGGTCCGCTTCCGCTTCTCTTCAGACTCGCCCATCTTGGATTGCAACTCCTCGTGCTCGCGGGCCACACGGGCCATGCTTTCTTCCCACATCTGACGCATGGCCTCCTCTCTACTAAGACGAGACTGCCAATAAGAGTCTCGGTCCCGTGAGATCTTAAGCAGATTCTGCACTAGACCCTTGAGGCTGCTGACTGCAGCCTCATAGGCACCAAGGGCCTGTTCCAGGGCTGGATCCGCAATGGTCATTTCCGGATTTTTGGATTTCTCGGCCTGTAGCGAGGCAGCCACATTTGCAAGAAGATCCAACTGAAGCTTCGCAGATTGTGCGGTGATATTGAGAGCATCCTTATCAGCGGCCGGCATCTCATTCTCGTGGCTTGAACCATAGTCGATGAATTCTTCATCCTCGCCCTCTGCTTCCGGCGCAGATGTGACATGACTGATTACTCTATTCATGTCGTTTGGAGCAAGGACCTGATCATAAGAACCACCATAAGCGGAGCTATCCTCGTCTCCAGGCGGGATATCTAGGGTGGTACGGGATGCATATGTGCTGAGCCTTGTACCAGTGCTGCTACCACCGCCCAGAGATGGAGGGGCGAGACCCTTTGTGCTGGGCTTGTGAGAAAGGCCAGACTCCGATGGTGTATCCGTAGGGCGTCCTTCTGTCTGATCGATCTTAGCCTGGCGAAGCACCTCTGCATTCTTCGACCGCTGACGCTCCTCCTCCTTGGCCTCATCCTTGGCCCACTGAATAGCATTGTTGAGGGACCAGAACCAGCGTTTTGCCTCCACAACATGGTTGGCCTTAAGGTGATATTTGACCGATGACTTCCCGTGGATTTCAAAGCGCGTCTTGTCCTGCGCATCCATGTTAAGTCTAGCAATCTTCATGTTGATCGCACCGCGACAGGCAGAACCTGCATCATCTATAGAGCACGTTAGCAGGGGTCGATGGTACGAGGAGCGATGACAAGACTGAGAATCACACTTGGACTTACCCTGGTGCTTATAATAACTCAAAACTCCATCCTCCAAAACGAACCAACGCAACTTATACCCGGTTGTGTAATTCGTCCATTTCTTGAGATAGCCTCTCATCTCGCGGGCATCCTTGCCTGCAAGCGGTGCATCGCCAACCGAAACGCGCCCAGCAAGGCCTTGAGCATTACTATTTCCGAGAATAGCCCTTTCCTGAATACCGCGCTGGGCAATAACAGCAGCGGGTGATCTCTTCAAGAGCGCGCGGGTTTTATCATCTTTGGTAACATCCTGCGGCAGCTTCCCTTTCTTATCACGACGGAAAGGATCCGCGCCATGTGTCAGAAGGATTTCAATGAGCTGCGCATCTTTATTTCTAGCGCCCTCATGCAGAAGCGTGCCACCGGAATGGGCTGTCGTCAGGTCGGTAACCAGATCGTAGCTATTCACATCCATGATACCCTCCACTCGAGGTTCCTCAAGCAAAGCTTCCAAGCCCTTATAATCAGAGTTTCCAATCAAAGCCTGGATTTCCTGGTTCTTGCTGTCGATGAAGAGAGACCGCGCAAGCTGAAGTTGCTGGAAGATTTCAGGAGTACGGGCCAAATCGAGAGCTGTCTGACCCCGATAGTTGACAATGGAATCGTTGATAGACGGACGGTTCAGCAATTCGCGAACGAGCGGGGCCCGGCCCAGTTGCGCGGCAATGTGAAGTGGTGTGTTTCCATCCCGATCTCGCGAGTTGATATCGAGGTCCTCCGCGGTGGACAGCACATATTCCACCACCTGGGGCTCGGCGCACTGCAGAGCCAAATGGAGGACGGTCGTGCCGCTAAGAGCACTCACGCCCTGCGGGTCGGTCGTATCCTTAATGGCCTTGGAGATGGCGGTGGTATCGCCGCTGCGCAAGATCTCGAAGAGACGAAAGGTGCGGACGGACTGCTCGAGCGACATGCTACCAGTCTCCATTTGGTTCAAGGAAGGCAAGTCTTCGGCTGTGTCCATATCCTCGGCAGATTCTTGAATGGCTGGTGGCGGACTCAAGTCTTGGCCTTGTTTGGGACGGGTGTGGCGACTGCTGCTGCGGGTGTGTTTCAACGAGCCAGGGCTTGGGGAGGCAGAGGCGATCAAGTTGGTGTCTCCGTTGTCATCGGGGTCTTTGTCTTCGCCCCTGGACTTGTCACGATGGAGGAGGGCAAGTGCTATTGAGCTTCGAGAGCGTTTGTGTTTGTGCCTGGGAAAGCAGAGGCATGTCAGTACAAAGCACGTACACCGTATACACCGTTCACATGTGACTACTTCGAAGGTCACAGGCTCAGGACAGATATACCAAGGTAGTTAAGCCAAGGTATTCCCCGGTGTCTCACAGCTGTCATGATGTAGGATGAACCATGGATCGAGAGTTTCCTAGTGTCAAAACTCCAAACTTTGAAAAAGCAAAGACTTACCCTTCAGGTTTATCAGACATCCTTGCACACTGGACTATATCCGTGTTGTCTGAGGTTGAGGACTATTGGAATGAAATTCGGGGGGGGATGTTTCTCGGGCCCTTGTTTGGGGGGCAAGTGATGTTGATCTCCGCCTTGGCATAAGAGGGTGGTACACTTACAAAGTACTAGTTAGGTAGGAACCTCTCGAGTCATTTTTCTTATTATGTCGATGTTATAATGTTACAATATGGTGAGCCGAGAATGGTAGTATTCATTGTACACGTATTTATACAAAGCAAGCCCATATCGGCTATATAGGCCATAGATCATCTAGACCATCTATATCTATCATACAGTATACCCAATATACAGGCGCTTGTAGCTTATCGAGTCTCCCCGCTAACCAAGATCACAACACTACCCAATTGTCGCTTCAAGTCTTCCTTGCCAACATCATGAGTATCCTCTACCTCGCCCCACATATCAGTCTGCCAGGTCACCTCCAGACTCGACGCCTCAGCCGCCTCCTCAATACCGAACTTCCTCGTCTCGGGTCGCTGAACGTGGCGGAAGTTCTCACTCCATTCCACCACTAGGCGGACCGCGATGAGAAGACTCTTGGAAGCAAGGATTGCTCGCTCAAGACCAGCCAGGTCATATGCAGACAGTTCCGAAACCCAGGTACAGATACTGTCTTTCGTACCCTTCGGCTGGGAGAGAGGGATGATGCTGTTGGCGTCGAGGATAGGGATGATTTCAAGGCCAGGCCAGACCTTGGTGGATAAAAAGCTCATGACGTTCCCTGCGATTCTCGTTTGAATCTGGCGAAGAGACTCGATGGGCTTTCCGTCGTCCGTTGTCCGTTCCAACACGTGCCTTTGTCGCTCGGGCTCCCAGCAGAGTAGAGTATCGGTATCTAGGTAACGCATGGCAGTTGTGATAATCTGTTTTCTGGTGATGCTGTTGCCCTCGGCATCTTCGCGGGCGATATCGGTGGCGCGGGCTGCGAGGGAGGTCATGGGGATAAGGTGGCTTTTGAGGGCCTGCTGGGCGGAAGTCATCACATCCCACTCCAGTGCAATAGCGTGGGCGAGGTGAGGTTTTGTGGAAGGAATAGATAGGACTTCTTTCGCCGGGGTTCTGACGGGTCGCTTATCAAGCAGGACTTGATATTCGTCTGGAGAAGTGAATATGTTAGCTGGTGAGGTATGGAGAATTATTACCGGACGAGATCAATGAGAAAGACAGCCAATGCTCATTCCGCTCATACCTGACTTTCCATGCACATGGACATCCTTCCAAAACCGCTTCTTCAGCGCCGCAGTGAGGTTGTATCGGGATGTTTCACCCTCGGAGGCTGGGAGCTCTGCATCGCTCGATTGTGAAATGTCCTTGAACTCTGATGACGGGGTAGCCGGGGCTTTAGGAGGAGGGCCGTGTGCAGTGACTGGGTGTGCCACAGCTGATCTGAAGGGAGACGAGTGGATGCGCCGGCATAACGAGACGGGGTGACGGGCAACGGCGGATAGCCGCGAGGGAAGCACAGCGCGAGCAAAAGCGACCATTTCTTAAACGAGGGCCCCTTGGCAATTGATTATATTAGAGAAAGAAAGGGTTGAAGGATGATTATTGGTTCCTGGATCCAAAGGAGTTGGGAACTCGAACATTTTGGCCCGGGAAGTCTTGGCTCGCCACACGCGCCACATCTTAATCCCAAAGGGGATCTGTACATTAGTTATTAAGTAGGTATCATTGGAAGTACAATCTACATAAACTAACTAGTCAGATCAGCTCACTTTGACACTATTTTCTTACCACATCCACACCTCTTTGGACTGGTTCTAGACCAAATCATTCTGCATGGCTCATCTGCATGGCATCAGAATTGGAAACTATGACATGCCTCCCTCCAAGGTAGCTTTACAAGGTAGGACTCTCTATTCTCTACAGATCCCTGGCCATATGATATGCGTATATTCCAATCAATTAGAAATTATTTGCATTTTGGGAAAGCAATTCGAAGAAAGAAAAAAAAAAAAAAAAAAAAAAAAAAAAAAAAACCTAAAAATTCAGAATACCACCTTGCATCTAAAAAAAAGGACAAAAAACAGATCTCGCAGCAAAAAGCTCAGGGGAATCAAAGCTGAACAGCAAAATGAGACGCAAAGAGTCAAGCATAGAACAACTGCAAAACAACCTCCGCCCATGCTTTTGTAATTTACAAGAAGAGAAGGGGAAAAAGCCTCGATGATATCGAGACCACCATTTTGTTTTTGATAACCAGGCAATGTGCAGAGAAAAGAAAAACAATGGGCAGAAAGTAAAGATGCCAACAATGAAGTGATATCACTGATATCACTAGTCTCACTTATTGGTTAGGGGGCTGATGTTGGAGAGGGAGAGAGCATTGCCAGTTCGAAGCTCGTATCACACTCTCGGTAACTTGGCGACACAGGTCGAATAGATTGGGTAAAAGGTTTTGGGGAGGTGCGGGGGAAGGATAAAAATCAGGGCAGATCTAGAATCAAAGCAGAGAGCATATGGGTGTCGTCACGGCGTTTCGTCATGATATAAAGGGCCAAGTCAATGGGCTAGAAGTTCTCCCCTGTTCCCAGTACAACCCCATGAGAGATGGGGAAAGAGAACAGGAAATTGTTCTTTTGGTAAAAGAATTGAAGAACTCATTTGATGAGATATTGCGGATAATACGGTTGCTTCATTCGATCGGCATCCGTCCGCTTCTTCATACGCTCGGCGTCATAATCATCGGCACCATCACGGCTACCCCATGTTGTCTGTTAAAAAAAAAAAAAAAAAAACTCAAAGTCAGTCCAGCTCTGGATGTCAAAAATATGGGAATCAAATGAGAAAGGCAGATGCGCGATCTCCGGGGAAATAGGTAAAGGGAGCAAGCGAGATGATCAAAGCGCTATGATGCTGAGTTGTCATAGGAGGAGGGTTGCGCTTGGATAACATTCGTATGCAGATAAGGGGGAAAATAAAACAAAAACAAGAAATGGGTGAAAAACAAAAGATGAGAGATGAAAAAGGAGAATTAAAAAGAATTAAACATACCACATTCAATGTCATTACGGCATACATCTTGATGGCACCGTGTAAATAACCGAAGATGACGGAGACTGGTAATAAGAACACATCGACAGGATAGCGAAGATAATGACCCAACAGCTTAATCCACTTGCTAGTGAAGATCCAGAGGTAGAGCATAGTCATAGATTGATCGTGAAATGACTCTCCCCAGGATCCAGTCGCCTTGTGGCACAACCAAACAAGTAAAATGTCGCCTAAAAAGGCAGGCGGCGATAAAGTGGTCAGGTGAACGGCATAGGCACTCCAGGGCTGACGACTATTAGAAAAATGTTAGCTCCTGTTCTGCATCAAGTGATTTTTTTTTTGTTTCTTTGTTTTCTTTGTTTCTCCAAGGTCACACCATGACTTCACCTTTAAACTCGGAGAAAGTTTCTTTTTAACCCGATCAAAGAGAAGGGGAGACGAAGGAGAAGGAAAAGAGAAGAAAAGAGAAGGTAAGACATCTCAAGGGAAAAAAAAAGTTGCACTCACTGCCAAATGTGCTTCTCGTGAAACATCGACGTCAGATTGCTCCGCCAATTACTTCGGGACCAGCGGGCGCATTGCTTCAAGAAACGAGGGTTGTCCTCCAGAGTTGTCAACACCTCGGCCTCCGGGTGGTACTGCATATAAGTTTCCCATCCGTGCGAGACCATCCAACGGGTGATAAAGTTATCATCGTCGGCGTTGAGTTGGTACTTGCCCCACCACCACTCCTCATTGGTGAAAGCGTAGGTGAATGCCTCATTTTGCAGAATTCGCGTCCGATACGCAACTGTCCGCCCCGACATGCAGGGAAGTCCACCGTCTACATGAGTAGTCGCGCCGCAGTCGAAGTTGCGTCGTTCCAGGTACAGGGCACCCAAGAAGCCCCAGACGCGCTGTGAGAGGCTCGGCGCAATGGCCCGGCGCAATCGCTGGCAGGTCACCACACCACCATATTTCTCATCCTTTTCGAAGGGAGCTAGAATCCAAGGGAGCAAGGTACGTGGCCAACTCACGTCGTCATCGGCGAGAAGGGTAATAGCGGTTCGGACCTCGGGAATGGCTTCGGTCATTTGACGACGCTTGTTGGGATGCTTGACTGTGAACAAACGGATGCGCGATTTCGATGCTGGCATGGCACTCAGCATGCGCTCAGCCTTGGTGCGATTGGCCTCAATTGTCACCAAGAGCAATTCGAAGGGTTGATTGTCGAGAATTGTCCGGATTGTCTCCACCAGCTCATCGCCACAGCCCTCCAACGATGGAATGATCACCGTCACATCTTGCGATGTCAGTTTGGGATTCTCCGGTGGTGGGATTGGCTTGAATGACCAAAAGGAGAATAAGTTGAACACGAGTCGGGTATAACGATAGAGACTGGTTTTTTTCCTTGTTAGCTATGTTATATGTTGTAGTGGTCGGATTGAGCTCCCAGGTATGTACTCACAAGAGTGTGACGAATGCTCGCATAAATGGGAATGCCATGGTGTGAAACTCGACCGTCCCCACGTAACCCTAACTATGATTCTTTGGGCTCTTTTAGAGATGTGGAGGTATACAGCATTCAATGTGCTATTAGCTATTAACCAAGTCGGGTGGTCAATTGCCTCTGTAGGCCTAGTCAATCCAAGTCTTTAACGAATGTCAAGGAAACAATGCTTCCTTCAATTCCAAAGGAGAATAGAGGAGAAAAGGAGAAAAAAAGAAGATGAGTACTTGGATTGAGGGAGGGAGAGATTAAAGTAGGAAGAAAGGCAGCACATGCGAACTAAACAAAATAAATAGGATAATCTCGAATATAATATTTTTAATTATTTTTAATATAAAATGATTTTTAAATGATAGATATTTATTTTTTTATTTAAAAAAAAAGTCCATAATAGTCACCTAATGGTAAAATCACTAAAAATCAAAAAGCCGAACTAAAAAAGCTATGCCCCAGTCTTAGTTGTCGTTTTGAGTGTGCTGCAGGCAGGTTTTGCCTCGTGCGTCAGAGACCCTGGATCTAGAGGCCGTCTATGAGTGGAGTGGGGGAAATATTGGCGGCCCATGCAGAGTATTCATTTTACGTATCTTACATACCTGGATATTTATATATATAACTACATATTAACTATATATATATATATATATATAATAATATATGTATATATCTACATACTTTATATCATGTGCACAAATATAAAGATTTCAAGGTTCAAAAATTCAAAATCATTTAAAAAAAAGTTCAGCTTACTCATGTTCAACACGTTCACCCCTGTGGGGAACATATATGCATGTACTGTACCTTTTCTTTTTTTTCGTGCTTTTTACTTTTTTTAATTTATACTAACTCGTTTAGTGATTTGGTGATATAGTGATTTTACAGTAAAAAAATAAGATCGTGGATAGGCAACGGTTTGGGTTGGATGCATATGAGATACCTAGTAGTTTAGTTCTTTCTAAACAATGCAACCCTATGAAAGGTACTTTGTTCATAGGTACCATGAAAACAATATAACTATGTGTTGTTTTTCCCCCTTTTTTTATATCCGCAAAAAGGCAAAGTAATTCAAAACGGAGAACATATCCGGTCATGCACGACTATGCTCTTTGCCTCGGCTTCATTGGTGCTCAGGTAACCGGAACTCATGGCTGGACACAGATCTGAGATACCTCTATTTATATATACGCCCAGAATTTACGTTGGACAATATTCTATAGCTTTGATAAAAAGGTGATTTGTGGAACAATTGCGTCTTCTGACAATACAACATAACTACAACATACACCATTCTAATTAGCGCGATCCGCAGCAAAATGGAGTCTAGAGAAGATCCGCCAAAAGTACCCGAGCTAATAAGGCGTTCTATTTCTTTTTTTACCTCATTTTTTTTTCTTTTCTCTATATAGAGTAAGATTAAATAAATTAAAACTAACGTGCATATTGGTCGGAACAAAGCTGCCTAGGTGTAACTTGGAGTTCGAATGCTTAGTACTACAGTACTAGCTAGCTAGTTATAATAGTCGTCCAATGTAGAAAGGTCAAGTGAGAAACACAAAAATACGGGTCGGGTCATATGTAATCCTGGTGGCGATCGCTAAAAGTGCCCATGTAACAGCCTGTTCCTCTTCACAGTGGGGCAATACCCGGTATGCCCAGATAGGATTTTTATATAGGATATTACTAAGATTTTGTAAAGATATGAGAAAATAGGGAATTTGAGAGCAATAGGGACAACGAGGACAACGTGTGGAAATATGTAAAAAAGGAAAAAGAGCATGTCGACAGATCGCCTGATTGCGCGTTTAATACCGAAGGGCAACTAGCTGCCTCGGTGGCGTGAAGGTAAATATCCCGGTCACGAGTATACTGGAATGTGAACGTGCAAGTAAGAGTGGAAGCGAACCTGGACCGTGCTTACATAGTATAATATAACTTATAAGAACTGACTCCGTAACTAATATCTAATGTCTAGTAACTAGTTAGTTATATAATATCTAATATCCCTAACTAGGGATATATACATACTAAATTACCGACCTTATTCTATAGTTACATCCTATATTAGTTAACTAGTAGTTACGCTATACTACATAACATGTAGTATATGCTCAATCCAGACACATCTCCTTATGAAACCAGGATCATGATTGGTACCATCCTCACGAAACCCGGTCACCTCCTTTTCTTTCACAGATAACAACCGCTGACTTCGCGCCAGTGTGTCGCTCTGGCGTCTAACGGTGTTCCAGCCTTAGCGGAATGGGGCACGGCCGGAGAGGATGGGATGAATGCATCTGCAGAAGGCCCAATATGGATATCTTGTTGGTCGTGATCGTCCGAACTCGCAATCTGGTACTTTTGAGATCAATGGCTAAGACCTCTTCTCTCTTCATAGGGTTCTACAACTGGCTATTCAACTTGGTTTTTTTTTTTTCTTCTTCTTTTTTCTTTCTCTTTTATTTTCTTATCTGCAACAGTTCCATCTGGGTTCTCTGCATATGCATATTCCGTACCTTGTATATTTAGCGTGATTTGCTCTCCTTCTCCCGGCCGAACCGAAGAGGACTACAATTTTTTTTTTTTTTTTCTGTTTTGGAAAAGTACAGAATAGCCACGGTCTCCGACCGTGCCCAGATCACGTCTTGAGTGAAACAGACGCGTATCTCGGCTGCACGGACTCCCCCGTAATGTATTGAACCCGCTTCAACTCCACCGACAGCCGGGAATGGCCGGACTTTCTATTTCACTTTCAATTTGATTTGTGAAAGGGGAGAGAGGAATGGGGGGTGGTGGATTTTACGTGGGTTTACGCATAGACCCGAAGTAGTCCGGGAATATCAAATAAATGAGGTGGGGGCTAAACGGGATCCTCGACTGTCACGGGAAAAAGGGGCGATGACATGCAGTCGATCAGACCTTTTTTTCTTCCCCCTTCCCCTTCGGTCAAACCCATTTTGAGATGCTATTTCATTACCCCATTCAGCTTTAGTTCAACTCTTCTATCATACCTAGGTACCTTAGGTGCAGAGTATTTTATTCAGAAATTTAGATCGGCTGTGGGGGGCGGGATTCGTAACTTTTTCAGTGGATCGAGCAAAGATACTACATAAACCCATTGTGATATCCTGATTTTACCCCTCAGTTAGGAAGAAAAAAGAAAAAAGTCCACATTCACAACCTCCATGGCATCATACAATAATGAGACAATATCTGAAAATAAGTCTGGCAAGGTAATAGCTGTAGGAGCTAGGACGAGCTGTAGTTCCCGTGTAAATAGAAATGATCTGGGGTACGGAGCACCTACAACATACCTAGATACCTAGGTAGGTAGTAGTATTACTCTGATTTCCAAGTGGAAACATCCGTGCCATTCTAGCCGCTCTCTGGTGGGTTAGCTGCAGCAAATGTTAGCTGCAGCAAATATGCCCAGGGCTTGGTGGCTGGTCTCGGGATTATCACCGACTTTGGTTCTCCACTTTCCACTTTGGTATTGAAAATACAGGTATTTTTTAGTTGGTTCGGGAGAACATACAGCTATGTAACTACTACATTCATGGATATATACACATCTAGGTGTACATACTTGCAATTATATTGGTTATCCCTATATTCTATAGCACTTTGACTTTAATGGCTTTTATCATGAGCTCTAAACTCTCGGTCCGACATCTCTGCGGCTCTTTCGTAATTGCGTCTTATAGACTCGTGGGTAGATCAATAGACGCATGTTCGTAACGAACATGGAGAGCACCGAGCGCACGCTTATCTCTGTATTGCTGACAGTGCGTGTTACTCTTTCCTACTTTGTAGATATTGACTACCGAGGTCAAGTCTAGCTACATGTAGTATATTGATTGGTATGAGCCTCACTTGGACTTTCCTCTTTCATGTCTATCTTATCTCTATTGTCTCTTTTGTCTCTATTGTCTCTGCTGTCTCCCTTGTCTCCCTTGTCTCTCTTGCCTCTCTTGTCTATCTCGATTTTAGCTGTTGTCATACGCATATATATATATAGCCGTATCAATCCTCAAACCCTAGGATATGGACAAAGAACTCTCCGAACTCGGATCCCCTGCAAAAGGACAAAGATCGCAATGCTCTCGGCGCATCCTGACGTCAAATAAAACGATTTCCTGCCGTTCATGCAGCTGGGATAGACCGGGGATACGGAAAAGCGGCAGAGACGCACCTGCTCATCAGACATAGGACCGTGGTAGCGGAACTGCACCTCGTGCATCCCCCGGCCACTAATGCGCTGCAGTTACCAGGAAGACTGTGGCCGAGAATAAAGGGAAAATAAAAAGAAAATAAAAAAATACCGTTCTAGAACACACGTGCATAAGCTCATTTACGGTATGCAAATTAGTTTCATACAACATGTTAGGCATAAAGACGTTAGCTGTCTTGTTGGCTTTTTATACTTCGTACATAGTATGTGTTTCTGATCTGGGATCATATTAAAGCTATTTTTGGATGCCGTTATCAAGTTATAGCTATTATAGCTACACGAGCCTATCAACGCATAAAGTCATAAGCCATAAGCCATAAAAAAGTGTCATAAGCCATAAGCCATAAAAAAGTAAAAAGAAAGAAAAAGAAAAAGAAGGCTCAGCCCTATGCCCTGGCCCCTGGCCCCCTTACTTGGCAGGTATCACAAGTTCACTCTGGCTTCCATAGCCAGCCTGCAGGGTCAAAACAAGACTCGAAATCGACGCCACCGAACAACCCAATCGCCCCATAGAGGTCGTAGTCCCCTTCCAGGCCTTCAACACCCCCAGAATCCGCATCGACCTCCTCATGCAGATCCCAACCCCCAGATCGGCATCCATTCCGCGTGAAGAAGATATGCACCTTGCATCTCTTGTTCTTCTTGTCCCCACTGCAGATATTCTCCGGCAGCTCAAACTCCATCCCCAACCCAACCGTCTCACCCACCTTAAAAGCTGTAGTAAAATCCCGACCCCCAAATGAATCATTCACAAATCGACATCCATCATCCGAGAACACTCCCAACCCACCTCTCTCCCAACCAGGTGATCTCCATGACGGGTAAGGTTGTGCAGCAAACCCAATGGAAAACCCACTACAATCCTGTGGTGTCGGCCCCGCCCTCAGCGTCAACAATTTAACCTCAAAGTAGATGGTCTTCTTCTGTTCCCGCACAAACGGCGAGTCCGTAGCCGGGAAGTACATGGGCAACTGGGTAAGAATGACACAATCCCCGTTCCCATCAGCACTGTGTCCACGCCAGCGACCACATGCAACAGCCGAGACATGGCCACGCAGCTCAGCTGGCTGGACGGGACGAAGATCGTAAGCCTGTACGTCGTGATAGACCGCAGTTGAGGGCTGAGTTGGGATCCAGAGGGGCACGGAGTCACAGAAATCATGGGCGCGTTGGGCGTCGTCTTCAGAGGCGTTCCCCGTGCCTGAGATTAGATAGCCGGTGATTGGGGGTGGTGGAAATGTGGCTGTGTCTGGGACTGCTTCTTGCCAGTTGTGATATGGAGGTGGATGGCCTGAGGCTGCATTCTGTGGCTGAGTGTTGGAGATCCCCCAGGATTGTTGTGATGCATCATAACTTGGCGGTAAGTCGTGGGGTTGGTTGGACATTGTGTAAGTTTTTCCTTTTTGGTATTCTTTTTGTGTTTGTGTGTGTATGTGTGTACCGACAGTTTTAAGGGTGGTTGTGCAGAGTCGGGGAGATGTAAAAGGTGAGATTTTGATTTTGATGCCAAGTGGGAGGGGTGTGACTCCGTGACTTTTGGGCTTCGGATTGGATTTTCTCATTCTGACAGTTTCACCACTTCAGAAGTTTCGAATTGGACTGATTGGGATTTTTTGTATTGTTTGGATTAGGGAGTGTATGTTTATAGATTGTATATAGTTATATATAGTTATATATAGTTATATATAGTTATATATAGTTATATATCTACATCTATAAATCGACAGATCAGAAAAAAACAAACCCACTAAGAAATAGCCCAATAGTTAACCCAAGTCTGTTTCAGCTGCAGCCAATTAACCAGCACATTCGGTTTTTTTCTTCGATTCTCGACTGTGTCTGCTTTTTCTTTTTTATCTTTTTCCTTCCATTTTCTTTCCTTTTTCTTCTTTTTCTTCTTTTTCTTCTTTTCTCTGTTTGTTTTCTTTTGGCCTTGGGCCTTTGCCTCTCGTTTTCTTTTGTTTATCTGCCTCTGCCTGACTTGCGACTTACGACTCACGACTCACTCACGTCTCACGATCCATGATTCCTTGATCTCCGGGCTGTTTCCCTGTTCAATGTCACTCGCTTCTTTTCCGATCAGACATTCGCTAAACCTGTTCAACGCCAATGGAGGCCTCCACAAATCCGCCCCCGCAGGGCCCGTCGATCATCCATCTCGGATCACATCCATCGCGTCTTTAGTAAATCCATGGATGTAAGTGAACCACAAGTTTAAAATAAAGAGAAAAAAAGTGGAGGAGCTTCATTTAACCCCTTGAAGAAACGACATAGTCAAAATGGTGAATTTGTTCCTCCGGTTCCCTTTCTCGCCCGCGAAGCTCTCGCACAAGAGGCGACAACCGATAACAATTCTCATACGAGACACTCTCTGTACGATGAGACAGGGCCCAGCTCGCTCTCTTACTCCTCCAACTCTCACTTGCCCTCCACCGGTACACCTGGCTCAAGTCTATCAGTCGCAAACGGGGCCCCTATGGAGGATGCGACTCCAACCCAACAAATGACGCCCGTGCCTAACCATCCCAGCGCAGATGTAGACAAGATCTGCAAATCACCAACCTGGGACAAACCCAAAAAGAAAGAAACGCGGGTCACAAAGCGCCTAGAAGCCGAGAGAAAGGAACTCGAGAAGCGTTTGCTAGCACTGGAGGATACCCAATCCAAGGCCGACCTCGGAGACCATGAAAGATCCTCTCGCCGCTTGACCAAGAAACAACCCGTGAGCAGCTCAAGCAGAAGCTCCAGTGCAAATGCCGAGCGTCCGAGATCGTCAAGTGGCCTGTCCTCGATATTCCGGCGTTCACGCCGGAATTCAAATTCGAGTGAGCAAGATTCTCCGTCTGCCGAGTTTAGCCAGCTTAGGACCGATACGAACCCACCATCTCTGCCTTTGACTCTACCGGAAAGGTTTGGAACGGCCATCACCCGAGAGCTACAGTCCAAGCATGGTACCGCACTGAACCTATCCGCTTCGCACAAAAGCTCCAACCCAACCCAGCATAACCGGTTGCACGCCTCGGCAAAGTCTGATGATCTTCGCGAGAACTGGAGGATGGCTGAAGCCTGGAAGACAAAGGATGGACGCGAGACCAATCGGTCAGTGTCGGAACAGATTTCCAGCCGTACTCGGTCCATGATTGGAAAAGGTGCTCGAAACGGCAAGACACCAGCATCCTCGGGCGATCTGGACAGGGAGTTGTTTTCTGCAGCTCTGAAGCATGACCGGAAGAGTGTGCCCGCGGCAGATAATCCCCTTGATCGTGCGACTCGCCATGACCGTTCTGTCAGGGCTACTAGCATGCCAACGCAAAGCATGAGCCAGCCTAACGTCTATTCATCCGGTCATCCTGACTCGCCTGCTCAAGTTACCACGGCTCGTCAGTTGCAGGAGTTAACACCTCCAGAAACTCCAGACAATCCATCGACTCCATCCAGTGCCAGGCCGTATCCACCACCACTCAACCCAGCACTAATACTTGCTAGAAAGAGCCGGGTGGATCCCTTCCCGCGAACATACAAGTCGTCTCCCCTAGCGCTGAATCCTGCAAATACGGATGAATCGCCCCAGAATGATTCTAAGATTCCAAAACCACCGACAGCACAAAACCTTGATGCAAACCCACTCCAGTCACCACAGTCCCCCGCTCAACTTCATCCCGAGGATCGGGGAAGAAGCCGATTGCCTATCGCTTCATCGCATATCCCCAAGCGAACTTTAAGTCGTTTCAAGGAAAACTTCCAAGAAGCTCCGCAGTCGATTGAACTGCCACAGATCCCAGTCAAGAGCGACAGACGGAGTCTCGAAATTCGGAGAGTTCCAACCACGGCAAACGATACACTCGAAGACATTCCAGCATCTCCTTTCCAGGTGGCCGTCAGATCTCCATTCCATACAGGAAGTGTTTCGCCCGGCGAGAGAAACAACCGAAGGTCGAAAGACCTGTCGGATGACAATTACACTGTTTCTGCGAGATCTCCCCGTCGAGCTTCATGCACTTCCACCGAACTCCCTGGAAATATTATTGCTAATGGAGGACCTGGAGCATTCATACCAGGACATAGCCGCAGTCCTTCATACGCCTCCTCCCATGACGGCCATTCGAATTATGATACTGCTGACGAAGATGCACCCGGATCTCCTGATTTCATACGAAATTCGCTGACTCGCGTGGATACCACTCCCTCAGTCTCTGCCGCTGAAGCTTCAGTCATACAGGAAGCTCCCGTTCGCCCCCTCATTCAAGCCAATACCCAGCCAGGCATCCAACCTAGCATCCAACCCAGCATCCTGCCTATCCAGCAGGCTGCTTCTCACTCCCATGGTTACCAGGGCATACAATCTGCCACTCAGCCCGACATTCATCCTAGCATACAGCCCAGCACCCAACTAGGTACCCAACCCGGCAGCCCCCAAACTCGACCAGGTCCCATGAGCATCCTCAAACGAAGATCCCAAAAAGCGAAAGCAGCCCGCAACCCACAAACCCTTTCCAAGATCTTCGTAATCTGCTGTCGCTGCAAGTACTGGCATGACCTACCTTCCGAAGTCTACGCGCGTCTTGCCTGCCCCGAGCGTATAGGGTCGGATTCCAAGGTGGACGGATCCCGCTCCAAGAAACAACCCGACAGTGGTACCCGCAAGCTGATAGGCTCACGATCGCTGCCATTCGGTCAATTCCCAGCTCCCCATGCTACCCAGGGCACGCCCGATCTACGGCCTGCGCCTCTTCTTCCCCGCAAGGTGACCTGCTGCTGGTGTGGACATAACATGAGCCGGTCTTGTTGTGAGGGTTGGACCACTGTCGTTGAGATGCGTGAGCGTCATCACTGAGTGTGATGCGCTTCACGGCATTGATGACACTTATTGAAAAAAAAAAAAAACATTTGAAAGCTACCTATGATATGAACGATTACCATGATGTGATGATGTTTCTTTTCTTTCTCTCTTAATTCCATGTCTTGTGTTTGGGGTATCTGCCTGCATCTACAGCTATGTCCTTGATGGTTACGACCTTGGGGATATCTTACAGACAGTTTCCCATAGAGTAATTGAATCAAATGTGTGTGTATTGAAACATGACTCTAATCAATGCTACGCGTACTTGACTGTAAGTCTATATTCGGTGACTAACTACTAAGTGACTACATATTTACATGCATAATGAAAGAGGGAGTGGGTAAACACCCCCCATGTATTCCGTGGGACTCGACAAGTGAACTATGATGCCCAAATGCGTAGCGACTTGTTGGAGAACACTGACGAGAAAGACTCGTTTGATTTGGGTGTGGAGCTGCATGGGCCTCAACGATGTTGATGTCTCAGGCATAGGCACCCGGGTTGCTACGGGACCCTTATCTCATGGGGGCTACGGTGAGATGATGGTCGAGAGGGAGAAGAAGAAGAAGAGGAAAAAAGGTGGGAGGGGTCCTTTTATATGGTCACATCCCAGGTACCTTCCTAAAATGGACGACTCTCCAACGCACCTTCTTTCATAGTCCCATGTCACATGTCTAGTCCTATGTCACATTTCATCTTCCCAATTTGTATTCTGTTCCCTTCCTTCTTCTTCTTCTTCTTCATCCTTGTCCCCCGGGGAATCCTTTCAACTCTTCAAGATGACCAGCAGGAAGAGCTGAGCTCACCTTGACCACCTTCATTTCTCACGTCACATATCTCTCATTAATCAGCCCATCATTGCCAATATCTGTATGGATTGTAGGTGTTCGGTGCGGCATTACTAGCAGGACCCAAGGACCACAGAACCCCGGCTGAGCATTATCTCGGATAAATTCAATGACCTAGAGGTTGAAATCATGCCCTCGACTGGCTCATGTTTTAGAGACATTACCTTATTTTCCTACATACGGATGCAAATGTGATGTAGGGAAGTTCCACTAGCAGCCCAGAAACGCTTGATGCAACCTTCTGCCCCGGCACCTCTCCGAACCAATGGCGCATTGCACGGCACTTTGAGAAGTAGTTCCTGGTTAGTTAGTTATATAGGTAATTTTCCCTTAATTTCCAGGCAAGGATGTGGGAGAACCTGCTTTTCTTCGTGCATCAGCCCTTGACTCTCGTTGGGAGAGAGTCCGAGAGACGATATTCATCACATCAAGTTCAAGTAATCAAGTATCTTGCGTTATCTACACATCAAGTATGGCAATACCTGGTCATGTCTATACTTATTGATTCCAAGATCCACGGTTTACTTTGGAAATACCGTACTAATTGTACAGGTTTTACACCTGGGATTGAACATAGTTCCACTCTCCAAAGGATCTAAAAGAGCCATCTTCTCTTTTATCGCTTGATTACCTTCAATCATCGTCCCGCAACAAGCTTTGGCGATCGGATATAACGTTGGAAGTTACCTTAAAATTGTTATCTCAAAGCAGCGGACCATTATATATTCCCTCTCTGGCAAGAGCTTGTCCCCTACTCTTGTCGAAGGTTTTGGCTATAGAATTTGGAGGTGGATCATGCAATATACTGAACACGGATGGCGTAGTCAAAGAATTGGGCCCTCGAGATGGAATTGTTAGAGGGAAGTTCATGCTATACCTAGGTCATGGTATGTTGTATATCTTCCACACCTCAGGCAGAAAATTGGCGGTATGGATATGCTGAGTCATCGTCCTTTATTTTTCCCTTTTTTTCCCTTTTTTTCGCCAACTTCTTCTGGACACTCTCTGGACATTCAAGCCATTCCTCGGAATTCAATGCTATTCTGATTTATGGTGTCTATCAATAAAAAATACTCTATACTAACCCAATTCCAAATATATCAACTCCCAGACACGTTCTGTCATCCGCAACTCCTCAATCCAGCTGCCCCAGTCCATTTGGACATGCTCAAGGGCTCTCCTTCTGGAGAACAGTCACCACAGCGCTACGTCTTGTAGCCGTGACCGACTGGAGCTGGATTGCGAGCTGGGTACTTTCGGGTACTCTTGCTCACTTTTGAAATACAAAAGTTGCCAGAGCAAGCAAAGGGCCTTCATAGTTCATGTTATACTTGCTCGAGTCTTTCCCTTCGGGGATTTTACTTTGTCTACGAGAGCATGACTCCTTGCGCATCTACATTCATCAGTTTATATCGTATCGAATCTATTCTTTTCCCACGTATCTCTCTTTCTCCTAAAGCTAAAATCTACAGCTTGCTCTTCGTGTCACCGACAATATTCACAACAACCTTTCCCCAAGTCTCCCTCCCTCCCAATGCCTGCAAAGCCCTGGGCACACTTTCCAACCCAACAAAGCTCTCATCCTTGAACGATGTCCCCTTGAACTTCCTTTGCTTAACAAGGTCAAAGATTCCTTGCCAAACCTCGCCCACAGTCTCCGTCTCAAACTTGGCATACTGCCCCCAATGCAAGCCAACAATACTCACATTCTTCAACAGGACCCGATTCAGCGCAACCTTCTCAATCTTTCCCGCCGCAAACCCAATAACCAACAACCGCGCATTCCACGCCACACACTTCAAACTCGTCTCAATCATCCCAACCGGATCATAAACAATATCCACCCCAGCAGCCCCATTTCCCTTCCTGTTCTGCTTGCAAATCCCCTTCACAACCTCCGGCCACGCCTTATTAGTGTAATCAACCACATAATCTGCCCCAAAGACCTTGGCAATCTCCCTCTTCCTCTCGGTTCCGGCAGTAGCAATAACAGTCGCCCCCATAGCCTTAGCAATCTGCACAGCAGCAAGTCCGACTCCACCCGCAGCCGCATGAACAAGAACCCAGTCCCCGGCTTTCACGCCAGCGCGCTGTACAAGACCGCCATACGAGGTCGGCGCCGTGACGAACAGACCCGCGGCATCTTCGAAGCTCCACCCTTCCGGCACGGGGAGGAGGGTTTGCTCTGCGGCTAGGACATGTGTTGCGTAGGCTCCTTGTGTAGCGCCGAAGACACGGTCACCGAGCTTGTAGCGGTTGTTTGGGGAGGTGGGCACGGCGGTGATTGTGCCGGCGAATTCGGCGCCGCCGATCCAAGGGAGCGGTGGTTGGTTTTGGTATTTGCCTTGGATTTGGAGGATATCGAAGAAGTTCGTGCCGGCCGAGTGGATTTCGATTAGGTATTTGTCCGCTGTTGGGGTTGGGGTTGGGACTGTTGTTACTTTTAGGTCTAGAGGGCCCTGTAAGTGGGTGGGTTAGTTTGGGATTGGAGTTGGGAGTTGAGGTTTGGGGATTGGCTGTAGGTACCTTGACGTATTCGCTGACTTGAACGGCACGCATTTTTACGGGTGGTACGGATGTATATTTGAGATTGAGGTGATAAGTTCTGAACCTTTTGAGTGAAGAGATCGAAGGGGATGTTCAAATAAAAAGAGCTCTGGAAGGGGACATGGGGGTTTCCCCGCAAGATGCCGAGGTTCCTTTTCGGGTAACTGATTGGGTCTTGGCATTTATAGAACACTCGGTCTATTCGGGCATTTGATATTGATTGATATTGATACAAATAGTATACATGCGGCCTGTGTAAGCCTTTAATGGTCTCATATGGTTGGCCTACGATTATATTAGAGACATTATATGTAAGGACACTCCGATGGGTCCATGTTCTTCTTGGATGTGTGCAAAGGGTAATAATATGCATGAATGTACAGAAGCTTTTTCCATATATAAATAGAGATAGTATACATATGCATAATATAGATGCGTCAAGCTTAATTAATCAATAGGTATCAATATATACAGTTTCCTTTTCATCCAAACTCCCCAAAAACCAAAAACATATCGGGTATGACAAAACAAACAACCACCCATATTTCACACAAAAAGGTATCGAGGTAACAAGGTAACAAGGTAATAAGGTATCGAGGTATCACAGGTATTTAACAGAAAGAAGAGCGTCAGTGCAGGTTACCACCTAGTAACCAATGCCCGGGGGTTTCTGCACATAATGATCATGGCCCATGTAAGGCATGATTGGAGCACACATCACCGAATGAGGCCCACCGGACTGGGTATTCGGCGGCGAAGCCATAGGATGCGATTGGCCATGAGGCTGTGTATGCGGGTGGATCTGCTTCCCATCGTGCTCAGACGGAGCCGCCACATGGCCCGCCATATCATACTGCAACGACATAGCACGCTTCCAGTTCTTCGCATCATAGCCATGGGGGTACTCTGGTGCCTCACCGTAATGGTGGTGGTACTGGGGATGGTAGAGCTGGGCTTGAGGGAGGTAGCCGTTCATTGAAGGAGTCATGGGAGCAGCCGTGGACTGAGGGATGGCTGGTGGAGTGATGGCTTCAAAGGGCAGCGAGTACCATTGAGATGGGTTGAGGCCGTAGTCTACTGAGACGGCGCGGGGCGGCCAGCCAATGCCGCCGGGGGTCGTTGCCGTGCCTGGGCTTGGGAGACATGATTCGGGTGAGAGTGGGTAGGTTGGGTAGGATGGGGCTACGGCGGATGTTGTGTTCAACATGAGACCTTCACTGACTGGGAAGGTGTGAGAGTGGTCGAAGGATGTTGTTGTTGGACTGGGGTCTGAATAAGAGGCGGCTGTTGTGCGTTCTGGGATGAGGATGTGCTCATCGGAGGGGCTTGGAGTGAGTTGTTGGATCATGGGAGAGCTCCATTTCCGGTCCTGGTCTGGGACGGGGTGTTGGAAGGTGGACGGATGCCCGTAGTTGGGTTGTGGTTGTGCCATGGGCCATTCATGGCGGGTCGGTGTCTCTCTTGTTGGTAATGATGGCAGTGGTCTTTGGATGGTTGATGCTTTGCGCTTCGCATCCTTGTCTGAATCTTGGTCTTCTCCAGAGGCAGAAGCCAGACTCTTCTTTCGAGTCTGACGGGATGGCTTGGTCACTCTCCATT